ATAAATACGACAAATGATAAATTTCCAACTTGCAGCAAATACAATTCGACTTCAAATCAGCTAAATAACTGAGACCAGTTACAGTAACGGTATTAAAGATAACAATAATAAAAGAAAATAATTATTAAAATTACAATAACAAAAAATATTAAAATTCAAATCAACCCAAAACTGAACTGACACAACTCAGGCTCAATAAAGGAAAAACACATACCGGTATCTTACTATATTACAATTAAAATCCGGCAAATATCTTACTTTTTCACTATTAAAGTCCGGTAAATATCTTACTTTTTCACTATTAAAGTCCGGTAAATATCTTACTATATTACTATTAAAAGCCAGCAAATATCTTACTATTATGCTGTTAAAAGCCGGCAAATACCTTACTATATTACTACTAAAATCCGGCAAATAGCTATTTTTCCGATAAAGTCCTGTTATCTGGGACGCAAGATTATCCAGTAAATATCTTACTATTTTACTATTAAATTCCGGTAAATATCTTACCATATAACAATTAAAAGCCGGCAAATACCTTATTATATTAGTAATAAAAGCAAATAGCCATTTTTCCGATAAAGTCCTGTTATCTGCGACGCAAGATTATCCTGAGTGGGGTAACTGATAGTGTATCAGGCTGTATTAGTGGGCGAAAAAACAACAAAAAAATCACTGTGCATTAAGTATAATCATTATTAATGGAAGTTGCTATAGTAAAAAAGGCGATAAACTTTGTTCATTAATTTAGTAACTGATATCAAGCTGTACTAGTGGACGAAAAAAAACATTAAAAATAATCCTTATTAATGGAAGTTGTTATTAATTTCTTGTGGTTAATATTCTTATGGTCAACGCAAACACAAACACACAGTAACGTATACACAAAGGTGATTTGAAAGACAGCCACATTGAGAAATTAAATTAGCATTACTATGTTTCGTTTATACAAAGACATGTAAATGGGAGAAGCTCATTAACTAAATCATTAATTAGTTGAGGTTAAACTTACGTGAAGTTCGACAACTACTTAAACATTACCAAGAAATATATACTTTTTATTTATTCATTTATTTATTTATCTTTTTTTTTATCTATTCTATTATTATTTTTTAGATGGAAATACAAGGTTTCGGCATCTGACTAGACGGAACGTAGCTTTAGATAGTTTGATAATATGACGATTAAAATGAACGAAAATAATGGAGTATTGTAGCATAAGCACAAACATAGTGACGGATAACAGTTACTATTAACGTTAATGATTATGAAAACATCCGTAATAAGAATAGGAATACTAGGGATAATGGAGATAATGGCAATGGTAATAACAATGCTAATAATAATAACGGTAAAAATAGTATTATTATAATATTAATATGATACAAATAATAACTTCAGATGCTAGAAAACACACATAGAGAATAAACATGTTTTTCTCCTTAATTATAAACTTTTTCCTCCCCCCCCCCCAGCAGAGTCCTCCCCAGGGGCAGCCGAGGGACGCAGAGCGGCGCCGGCTCGGGGGTCGGGAGCGGCGGGGGGAGCGGGGGCAGCATCAGGGACGCCGGGGGGTCCTTCGGGAGGCGGGCCGTGGCGCAGGAGGAGGAGTATTTCCGCAGGAAGGTGGGTCGTCGCAGGAGGAGGAGGAAGAGGCTGGTGGACTTCTAAGGATGATTTTTTTTTTCTTCTTGTTCTTGTTCTTGTTCTTCTTCCACTTCTTTTTCTTGTTCTTCTTCTCCTCCTCCTCCTTCTTCTTCTCTTTCTTCTTCTTCTTCTCCTTATTGTTGTTGTTGTTGTTCTTCCTCTTCTTCTTCTTCTTCCTCCTCCTCCTTTTCTTCTTCTTCTTCTTCTTCTTCTTACTCTTCTTCTTCTTCTTCCTCTTCTCCTTCTTCGTCTTCTCCTCATTCTCCTTCTTCTTCTTCTCCTTCTCCTTCTCCTTCTTTTTCTCCTTTTCTTGAGAATGGGAGGAGGAGCGTGGGCGTGGATTGAAAGAGGCGCTGCGAAGGGGATTTAAAGTTCCGAAGTCTGATGCGAGATAAAGTGAGATAAACAGAATGCTAATGGGAATTTGGGAGACTCGCAAGAAAGTTGATAACAAAGGAGATAAAGGAAGAAATTACGTGGAGAAAGCTTTGAAAGAAGACTTCAAATGGGTTAAATGTTTCAGATCCATTATTATTATTATCATTATTGTTATTATTATTGTCATCATCATTATCATAGCATTATCGTTATCATTTTTAGAATACATTTTCCAATTGTTCGAGTTAGATTTTCTTCTTTTTTTTCTTTTCGCATCGATTTGCGAAACATCCCATCGATCGTCTTGTAAGCAGAAAATACCAGATTGGCTCGTTCATAATGTCAGCTTACCGGATTTTGTGGGTTAATCATAGTAAAACGGCCCTTTCTCCTTCATTACGCCTCGGTTTGCTAGTAAGTACATCATAGTGAGATAAATTTAGCACGAGCTCAGTTTGATTTATGTATAGTCAATTTGGGGGGGAAATGTTACCGGAAATCCTATTTCGTTTGATTTTCAACGTACGTGTTTCTATTCTTTCTTTTCGATTTTTTTGGGTGCATGTGTAAATGGAATTCCTTACGGTAGGCCTACATGCTTAATCATTATCATAGACAAATCAGCTATTAGTTCCAATTGTTAGTAAACTTTGCCTTCGTTTTTACAGCAAAGGGAACAGCTGATCAAACTCCGGAAGAAGCTGGAGAGCGAACGGGAAGCGACGGCGGAGAGTCAGCCAAAGGGCGAGGGACCAGAGGGCGCGGGAGATTCAACCCAGACTGCCAATGACGCGGACCTTCGTGCCGACGCGCTCATCAAAGACCGAGTGTTCCTCCTTCGCAAGCTTGAGGAATACGAAAGCCTCGTGAAGATTCACCAGCAGGAGATCCGGAGAGTCTTCGAAATGGCGGAGGAGAACGTGCAGATCATCAGCCACTATCAGGAGGAGATCGGCTTCCTGAAGTCGACGATGGAGATCCAGAGGCAGTTCCCCGAGTTGGACCTTGATCGGGAGCCGCGCCTTGAAATCATAAAGCCTCGAACTGGGAGCTTCGAGTCGTAACTCATCCCAATATTCTTCCGTGATAAAGCCTTTCTAATCACTCTTAACCCAGTCCTCATTACTATTATCATTTTAATCATTTTGAAATATACAGTTGTTATTTGGAAAGGATCTCTCTCATCATACATATAGAACAGCCCCTTGCATTTCCCTTGCACTTACTGTTGAAGCCGGTGAAGCCCTTGGCCAGCTCTTCGTCGTCAAGGGGCCCCACGATGGCTCCGATCACGAAGTCGACAATGGCGATCAGCAGCACCACTAGAAGCACCAGTTGGGCCTGTAGGAAAAAAATGATAGAGCTTTAAAGTTATATTTTTTACCATTTATCATTCGCTGAAATGTATGATCCAAGTTTTACCATTTACTTGTCCAATCTTTCATCTGTTCAACTCCGATCTGATGAGAATCTGACTTCTTATTTATTATTACTGACAAGCGAATTTGCGTGATATGTACTCTGCATCACGAAAGCGAGGGCGGAACACTTATATTTATCACAAGCTGACAACTGCAAAAGGTCATCTTCCCAGAATATCTGATCCAGTAAGTTCCAGTTTCTCTTATTTTTTGTGCGCGAAGCTAGCCAGACCTTTCCAGTTTGCTTGCATCGTTCTGTGTTTGCAGTTTAGTAGATATCAAGCTAACTGGACCTGTCTTTCAAAAGGGATTGCAGACTTTTACGGAAAGCAAAATGTATGCTGTGGATCTTATTAATGGAAATACAATACTTAATGATATGGTGGTTTTAGTGTTTGACCTTTCTGCTTTTTTCCACTCAAGCTCTTCCTTTTTTCCTCCCCTTTTCTATATCCTCTATTAGTCTATGTCTATCCTTTTTTCCTCTTTCTCCTTTTTTCCCCTCCCCTCCTCTCCACCCCCTCTTTTCTTCTTCATTCTTCTCCTACCCCTCCCCCTCTTCTGCTCTCCCCACCTCCTTTTCTTCCTCCTACTCCTCCTCCTCTTTTTCCACCTGTTCCACCTCCTTTCCAACCCCTCCCCTCTCTGTCTAGCTCTCCCCCCTCCCTCTCTGCCCCCCCCCGCTCACCCTGGCCTCCCACTCCATGCCGATGACGCAGATCGCGAAGAGGACGACGAGGGTGACGCTGCCGACCACCCGCACGTCGTTGACTCCGCCGTCGACGATTTTGACGTGGAACGAGGCCAGGAGGTCGTTGATGGACTCGCAGAAGCCCACGATGTACATGGAGGCGGCGACGGCGTTGGCGACGGAGAAGATGAGGCCGATGGCGCCGCCGAACTCGGGGCCCAGCGAGCGGCTGATCATGTAGTACGTTCCGCCTGCGGGAGCGGATCAAGGGATGGGGGAAATCTGCATTTCTCTGTCTCTCTCTCTCTGTCTTTCTTTTTTTTCTCCAACTTGCTCTCTCTCTCTCTCGCTTTCTTTCTCTCTCTTTTTCACTTTCATTCTCTTTCTCTCTATCTGACTCACTTTCTCTCTCTCTCTCTCACTCACTCATTTTCATTCTTTCCCTCTTTCTCTCTCTCTCTTTCACTTTCATTTTCTTTCTCTCTATCTGACTCACTCTCTCTCTCTCTCTCTCTCTCTCTCTCTCTCTTTCTCTCACTCATTTTCATTCTTTCCCTCTCTCTAACTCACTTTCTCTCTCTCTCTCTCTCTCTCTCTCTCTTTTATTTTCTCTCTCCCCCCCCTCTCTCTCTCTCTCTCTCTCTCTCTCTCAGTTTCATTCTCTCTCTCTCTCTCTCTCTCTCTCTCACTTTCATTCTCTCTCTCTCTCTCTCTTTTATTTTCTCTCCCTCTCTCTCTCTCCCTCTCTCTCTCTCTCTCTCTCTCTCTCTCTCTCTCTCTCTCTCTCTCTCTCTCCCTCTCTCTCTCTCTCTCTCTCTCTCTCTCTCTCACTCTCTCTCTCTCGCTGCATTTCTTCCCTCCAAGGCTCAGAGGAAATTAATTTTACATAAACAAACTTCTAGAACTGGCTTTTGTTGGGAGGTCTCAGAAAAAAATCTATAATGGTGAAATAAGAATATGTTTTGTCCACACAATATTTTTATCAACACTAGAAAATTACTTCAAACATTTATTTGTCCATAAGTTAAAAATTAAAATATTGCCAGGGACTTTGCCAGTTACTCTGACTGTTTTCCCACTTTTCGAAATCAGCACTGACTCAGGGTCACATTAATTCACAACTATGCGTTGCTTTTACCGATCGAATCTCGCCGCAGAAGCTAGATATTTTAACACGGGCTGATTAAGAAAGTAGTTTACATATCCTGCCGGCGAGGGACACGGATCAAAGGGACAAAAGAGAGAGAGAAAAAAAATAGAACAATGGACACCGAAGATTCACGAGTAAACAAAACAGAAAGACCTTCCCCAGCGACAAGGTCTTGTGGACAAAGGAACATGAGCGTTGTACAAGCTGGCTTCCAAAAATAGCAGCATGTCCCTGGGATAAGCACCGGTAACGAAATCATCCGCGCTGCAAAGGTTAAACCGAGGATGTTGTCACGCTGGGTCACCCAAAAGGTCGGGGAGAGGCGACCGGCACGTGGTGTAGAAACGAGTAAAGATGATGTAATATAAAGGAGAGGGAAAAGAAAGGGAGATAGTGGGAGGGAGTTGTTGGAGAGAGAGAGAGGGAGAAAGACGGAGGTTGAGTGGATGGTAGATAAAAGAGGTTTGATATGAGCGATACGAGAATAAATAGGAAATAGGATATAGGAAACTTTGAACAGATATACGAAAAGGGAGCGAACTTTGACAAATAGCTTTAAGAGATATGACAAAAAAGACGAAAGATAAAGAAAATGGAAATGAAAATTAAAGGAAAAGTTATTCGGCTTGGAAAAAATGGAAAAGGAAATGAAAGCCAATCAAAAAACGAAGAAAAATAAAATTTTAAATTAATCTCTAGGAATGAATTCAGTCGGTGATCGAAAAAAAACAAACCCTTACAAACCGAAATAATCAATCCTAGAAAAAAGAAGAGAGAGAAAAAGAAAGAAAAAGAAAACGAGGATATTAAAAATCAAGAAATATAACACCAGCCAAGCGACCAGACAGCTTCCTCGGATCACTGAGCACAGCTGATAGCATCTGCCGCCTGATAGAGACAGACTCCCGACGCCCCTGGCTTTGATCAGACGCGGGCGGAACCAAGGAATCCCAAAAGACGCCCTTCCTTCCACGAACGCCACTGAGCCGCTCGGGAGGCGAGAGGAAGAAAAAACGCACGTGTGACTCGGATCGTCTCGGTGTGGTAACTGTTTTTTTGTGGAAGGGGATGGTGAAGAAAAGGGAGATGATGATGATGATGATGATGATGATGATGATGATGATGATGATGATGATGATGATGATGATGATGATGATGATGATGATGATGTTGGTGGTGGTGTTGATAATAAGAATGGGTATTGCTATAACGATGTTGTTAATGATAAGAGCGATGATTGATAATTGTGATTGTAACGTCAAGGATGATAATAGCAATAATGGTAATGATGATAATAATTGTGAAACTAGTACTAATACTAATGATACTATTAATAATGTGATGATACAAATAAAAATAATGATAATGATGGTGCTGATAATGATAATAATAATAACAACAATGATAACAGCTCTAATAACAAAAATAATAATAATAACAAAGATAAGGATAATGACAGCAACACCAATAAGAATAATAATAATGTTATTAAACGAAATAATAACAACAATAACAATCACAATAAGAGCACTTGCACCTCCCAAAAACACTTACGAGAGAGAAAAATCATCAACAATTTCCCAAAATAGAAGAATTTCCCGGCAGTTCGCACGCAGAAATCACGTCTGACAGATACCGCGCTCATCCTCCTCCCTTCAACAGGCTCAGGCGGATCACAAGTGTACATAGAGAGTTTGTTTTTCTCTCTCTCTAGTAAAATAACTGCGTCTACTTTTAGATATTTATGTGGCGGTTTATTTTCTCCAGACCGTGAGAACGCTTTTTTTTTTTTTTTTTTTTTTGCTCCAGTTCTTGGCGATGAAAAATGAATATATAAAAAAGATTGAGGATTAGACTTGTACAAACGGTTCTATATATAAACAAAAAAAATATCCGTAATGCAAGCTCACGGGGGCTATAAATAAATAGATATGCGCACGCGCGTGTGTATTAGATATGCACGTATGTAAATCATGTATGTAAACCATGTCTATATATATTGTTGGATTTTTTTTATTTTTAGGTGATTAAGCATTAATTTCTACAAATATTGCACTGTACATGAAGATAAGATCTCATTAGAAGGAAACATGAAAATTCCAATCGCCTCCTTGAAAATAAAGAAAATGATAATGATAAAAAACAGAAAAATACGATCGCCACGCACCTCACCTCCCTAGAAAGACAATTCTTATAAACAGAAAAAAAAGAAA